CTCTACCACGTATAAACTGTTATAGCGGCGGCAGAAGTAAGGTAGAAGTTGGTACCCACCGAGACCTGTTCAACCTTATTATAACAATAGTTTATAATTATTCGTAGGTTTAAGCTAGAGTCTGTTTTAATATAGGAAACCTGTAAAGATGTTAAAATTAGGTAGCTAAGATTTGCGTAATATTTTTTTTATCGATAAACAATTAATATTTTTTGAAACAGTCCATAACAGTCTGCGCTTGGATTATGCCCGCTATTGCGAGAAGAAATTGCCATAATCGAAACGCTTGACAGGCGTTGTCTATGCATTTACATATGTTATATACAATACGGTATATCATCATCAAAGGCCGTAAGGTCTTTCTGGCCTTTCACGGCACAGCACTCACGGTATCAAAGAGTAGGGCGATAGATTATCTTACACCACCACTCGGCAATAATGTAATATTAAAGTTACAGCCTATATACGTCCCACTCTTGGACAAAGGCGTCCTCTCATTTATGAGAGAGTTTTATGCCATGAAAGTGGCCACCGCGCTACCCCAGTGCGTGTTTACGGATTTCATGCAATACAATTAAATATCAGTTTAATGCTGCTGTTTTATACAGTGAGTGAAGAGAACCGGATACCGGATTCCACTAGAAACGTGGCATTTCATTTTAGTCCTCAGGAGTGATAACGCACCTTGTGATTCTTAATTGAGAATAGATGTAGACGTGTATGGGCCACAGCATCTACTTTCCATCAGGTGGACTGTGTGTTCGTTTGTCACCCTGATTCTATTATTTCTCTTAAAGAAGTCTTTGGAAAATATGCTAACTGTCTAATTTTGCGAAGACTGGCACCGCGGCTAAGGGACTTCTTTATTTAGAAAGACCCTTGTTAACTATTGTTTAAATCTAAAGCTAACAAGAAACCACGTTTTATAATAATACAAAGTAAGTCTTACTTAATACTTCCAAGACGATCTTCACTAAAACCAATGAGCAGTGTTATGTCTACAAATTCCGTGGTAAAACTTTCAAACGTAGTAATTAGCTACGAATTCCATTATTTATTTACGAAGCCGTTATTAAAGCTACGGAGCGTCATACTTCATTTTATTTATTTAATTTTTACACTCGGGCTTGGGGCGGTGCCTACGGCATACGTCCGCTTACCTGCCGTGAATAGCTTCTTTTTAATTTTTTTATCCCGGATTAATATTTCTCCTTTCCACTTTGTCTCCACAGTCCGTTGGAATAACATCGCAATAAATTTACAATTTCCTGGAAATGTACATTGCTAGGAACTACATAGCTTTTACGAGATAAAATAACTGAGAATTTATCGTCGAAATGTGCTTGAAAGTGTATTTGTGTTATGTTGTATATAGTTTGAAGGTTGCTTGTTAAAATTTACTGCGCCGGTGTTATATTCACGTACGCTTATAAAGTAAATAGAGTTAAATATTCTTAAACGTAATGAACATTTCGTAAAATAACGTAGGCATTAAAAATATTATTTATTTGTAAAATTCATTTAATTCTCTTATAAACTTATAATATTTACTAGTACATGATAGAGTATCAAACGAGTTAACATTTCACCTGAAGATAATATAAAAGATGGCTGCTGTTGACCATAAGAACCTGCAACCAATTTCAAACAAAAAAAGCCACGGATATACATCTCACTTAAAAAATCAGCAAAATCGGTTAAATACTTCAGGAAAGGAAAGTACAGTCGAATTTTTAATCTTCTCCTTTTTTTAAGTGGATAAAAGCGTATGTAACTAACTTATTTATAGAATATGGGTGACAAACGAGCACACAGTTCATCTGATAGTGGACCGTGTGCTCGTTTGTCACATCTATCTTAGATTAAGAATCAAAATGCGTTGTCAGCCCTAAAGACTAAGATAAAATGCCCTGTTTCCAGTGAGAAGGGTCTCCGGTTTTCTATACTCACCATACCAAACACAACAGCATTATACTGATGGTAAATTGATGCTGTGACATTTGTCATCCATTAAGAATCAAAATGTAATATGCGTTTTCACCCCTGAGGACTAAGATAGAATACCTCGTTATCAGTAAAAAGATAACGTTAGTACGGTGCGGTTTCTTTACTCGTGTGACATTAGTTTATAATAAATCTATGGTGAAATAGTTCTCCGTTGTTTTACGCTCACCATACGAATCATTAAGCTGCTATTTCACGCTGGTATTCTGTGAGAGCGCAGTTCTTCTCTGGTGGAGCCGAGTCCTCGTGCTGCACCGAATTATAACGCTAAATAGCAGTGCTTGCATTACTGTGTCCCGGTCAGTAGGATATAGAGAGTCAATATAATTACAGACTATGAGGCATTCCATCTTAGTCCTCAGGACTGATAACACACCTGTAGTCTCCTTTGAACACCATCAGGTGACTGTAAATTTGGTTTTCACTTCATTTTTATATAAAACTATTATCCGTATTCGACCTCTTTATATAATTTTAATTACGCTTGATAAAATTTAAAAAAAATGTGGAAACGATCATTTAGCTTCTCCTAAGACGATCGCGTTTTTATTAGGGTTCCGTACCTCAAAAGTAAAAAACGGAACCCTTATAGGATCACTTTGTTGTCCGTCTATCTGTCTGTCAAGACCCTTTTTCTCAGGAACGCGTGGAGATATCAAGCGAGGTATATAAAGAGGAGAAATTCATATCAAATACTCAAGTCTACTGTCGCTTGAAACTGTGAAAAAATCAAACTTCTAAGTCAACGCAACCAAAAGATACAGCCGTTTATGCCGCAAATTTTCGACATTCGCAAGGGAATCAAAACCTACAGGGTATTTCCCGTGAACTCAGAATCTTAAAATTTGGTACGAAGCAACGTATTATAGCACAGATAAAGGAAAAATTGCGAAAAGCATAAATTTTTAGTTACATCATATAATAAAAATATTTTTAATTATTTTAAACTTATATACCTACGGATTTGTTCGGAACCCTCGGTGCGCGAGTCCGACTCGCACTAGGCCGGTTTTTTTTCGTCGCGATATTTGCTTTTCCTTGCCATTACGCATATTTCAAATTCCAATTATAGTGTTCTAAAACGGTCTGTAATATGCCGAACAGTAGCATAAATAATACATAAGACCTTATATATTAATAGTAGGTATTATTGATATTAATCGAGGCAGTGTCAAAGCTTTCAAAAGCTCCAGCGCGTTCGGAGCGAGCCACGACCGCTGGCGGCCGTTCGTTGCTAACAAAGCTTATTTAGGTGACTACTAATGGTTCTCGATAATTTTTCGAATTTAAATCACTGTAGTATTTTATAAAACTCGGAGTAGGCTGGATTCCTCCACTCGGTGATAAAAGACAATATCGTGTGGTAACCTAAAATACATTTCTGAGATATTAAAAATATTTCGAAGACATGTAAAATTACTTTTTCTTTCAAATCTTCCTAGAAAATAGGAGTCTTAATTCCACTAGCGTGCCTGGTTAGTGGCGCTGGTTGTTCAAAATGTTAAATAAGAGATTTAAGATTTTGAATGTGACGAGATATGTCAAAATGAATTAAGATGACCTCACATATTGCTTTTTATCGTGGTAGGGGATAAGCGATCGCAAATTGTAGCATAGCGCACGTTTCGTTTGTGCCGAACCAGCAGAACTGCTCTTAGTAACGGTATACATATTGTTTAGTGGCCAAATTGAACCTTCAAACGCACGAACCTACCTCTAAGGAGTTTTATACTGCAACATTCGAAATAACAAAATAAAGGTATTAGTAGGAGTACTTTAGTAAGCATTTTGTTTTCTCTTTATTTGGATCACCAACAAAATTAATTTTCAATTTATTTATCACAAAATACCTTATTGTGGCTTATGTATAAGAAATAGGCCTATGGTATCGCATAGTTTATTTTTTATATGGAGGAAAGATCTGTATTTTTGTAGACCTCACTAATCATTACGCCAGCGCAAGTGGATAAAGCAGCTTGGGAACGCTTTTTCTTCAGACTTGCTTAACAAAAATCAATATTTAAGGCTAGCTGAAAAGTGTATCCTTGTACACTTTTCTACTGCATAGCGTTTACTATTCCTCATAAATCTGGCTATCAAATACAAAAATAATTTATTAAATCGGACTGGTAGTTCTGAGATTAGCGTGTTTAAACAAACAAAAAACCTTTTCTGCTTTATTATATTAAGTATAGATTCTGTCTCATTTATCTCTTTTCGGTGTCGCTTTTTCGTTTTATTGAGTTTCAAATCACAACGATGCTAAAGAAGTTTTCACTTCTAAAACATGCTTTTTATTATATACTAGCTTTTCTCCGCGAGTTCGCCGTGTATTTTAGGGTTTTAATTATGTTGCGCGTAACCCTAATTATTTTTCTAAATTTTAAGTAGCCTAAGTTACTCCTTATAACATCAGCTTTCTGCCAGTGAAAGTACCGTCGAAATCGGTCCAGCCGTTTCGGAGATTAGGCGGAACAAACAGACAGACATACAGAGAGACAGACGGATAGAAAATTTAAAAATCGTGTTTTTGTTATAAGTACCGTATATACTTTCATATGCATATAGTAAAAAGATGTTATTTCAATTTTATTTATTTGTGTAGATGAACAATCAAAATGCCGATGCGTTGTCGCCCCTGAGGAATACCTCGAGCATGATAGATGGAATACCTCGGCAGTAAAAAGGGTCTCCGGTTCTCGTTATCAGTATACGATAAAGAGCTGTATTATGTTGCCATTTCACGCTGATATTTCGTGATATTTCGTGTGATCGTGGTACTTCCCCGGTTGGGCCGATCCATTCGTGCTGCAACGAGGCTCTACCACGTATATATACATAAATAGCTCTACTATTTATGTAGATTTTATCTCACAACCATCAGAAATAGCTATGGTTTCAAATTACGTAAGGTTTTATATTATCATGTTGTGATTTTTGATTTTGTTTGTTACAGGAGAGCACACCTCAGGAGCTGCCTAGAAAAACTCAAGGACATGGTACCTTTAGACCCCGAAGCTTCACGACACACTACCTTAGGATTATTAACAAAAGCCAAAAGATTTATAAAGGTAAGTATAGTATAATACATTATACAAATTTAAAATGAATTTGATAAAATTTGACGATGCACATGGGATACTTTTCACCGGGCAAAATTTAAAAGTTGACGTAGCAAAATTAACATAAAATCGTTTCTCTCACCACGCGGACGGAGCCGTTGGCAAAAGTTAGTAAAGTAATTAAGCGTGGATGTGATCGTAGCAGTTACGTAGTCCAAAGGATCAACCATTAAGTTGTACAGTGCTCCTCGAACTATCCGAGGTGATTGATATGTATAATATTGTAGGCGACGAGGAGTTTTTACGTGTATTTATTCCCACGAATTCTTTAATGACACAGCGCGACAATTTTCTGCTTGATATTTTTATATTTCAAGTAAATTTTTTGCCAAATCCTTACAGAGATCCTTACTTACTAATAATATTCTTATCTGGTTGGGCTATATGAATATATATGAAAATGATAAATAATATAAAAGGTATCGTTTTATATTTAGCTCCCGTTTTATTTAAATAAAACTACTTTTACGGATATTATCGCGTATATTAACTTATTTTATATTCCCGACGCTTCGAGTACTTTACAGCACCCATGGTCACGGGGGGACTGAGGTGTATGACGTCACAATATTATAGTTAACCACAGCTATTTCCAGATTAAAAATTATTAATTTTTGTTCCGATCTACACAGTATGAACTTACAGTATCTTGAATTGTTGCAGTTGTATGCTTGGGTTGGGATTTAATTTTATTAACTATGGGATCCCAAGCAGATGGTAGCACCCAGCCCAGTAAAGTACTCTAAACGTCGGGAATATAAAATAAATTGATGTACGCGATAAAATCTGTAAAAATAGTTTTATTTAAATGTGTAGTATTCGCGTAAATATAAGAAATCATCACGTATTATTGTTTGTTTTTTTATTAAAATGTAGTGACCAACGAACTGTGGACTGTGCAACATGAAATAAATAAATAAGTGACACCTGCAACTGTGTTCAAGTAAAGAAGGCTATTGTCACCTCTGAGGACTAAATTGACCTTAATTACATTGCGTCTCTATACTCCTCAGCCCAGAACACAGCAGTATAGACACTGCTACTTGGTGGCAGAAATAGATAAGGTGCCAACTAACACCTCATCATCATCATCATCATTACAGCCCTTCACAAGTCCACTGCTGAACATAGGCCTCCCCCAAGGAATGCCACAAAGCACGGTCCTGAGCCACCTGCATCCATCGACGTCCTGCATATCTTACCAGGTCGTCACTACATCTAGTGGGGGACGCCCTACACTTCGCCTGCCTACGAGGCTGCCACTCGAGAACCTTTTTCCCCATCGGTTGTCGGTTCTTTGAGCTATATGGCCGGCCCATTGCCACTTTAGCTGACTAATCCGTTGGGCTATGTCGGTCACCCTTGTTCTACTGCGGATATCCTCATTTCTAAGTTTATCACGCAGAGAAACTCCGAGCATAGTTCTCTCCATAGCTCGCTGAGCGACCTTGAGCTTCCTTATCCGGCCAGCAGTGAAGGACCACGTCTCAGTTCCATATGTCATCACTGACAACACACACTGGTTGTATAGTCTCGTTTTCAAGTTTTGAGGTATACCTGACGAGAAGATGTGCCGTAATTTCCCGAACGCTGCCCAACCGAGTTGAATCCGTCGATTGACCTCTCGGTCTAAGTTGGACTTACTAGTAGAGTGAAGTACTAGTCGGACTATTTGTCCCAGGTAAACATACTCGTCAACAACTTTGAGCTTAGTGCTCTCAACACAACTAACACCTAGTAAAATGTATTGTAATTGTGCTGCAACGAAATATCTCAGTTTGTATTTATCTCTATATATAAAAATCAATTGCTGTTTTTTTTATAGGATAAGGGTGACAAACGAGCACACAGTCCACCTGATGGTAAGTGGTTGCTGTGGCCTATAGACATCAACATCTATCCTCGATTACGATTCAAAATGCAGATGCGTTGTTAACCGTGAGGACTAAGATGGAATGCCTCGTTTTCAGTAAAAAGGGTCTCTGGTTCTCTACACTCACCATTGGAAACACAGCAGTGTTAAGCTGCTATTTTACGCTGGTATTCTGTGAGAGTGTGGTCCTTCCCCGGTCGAGCCGACCCATTCGTGCTACAACTATACCAGTAATATAGCTGCAGCGTGACTCTACCACGTAAAAAAGTCGCGTCTAGCGTCTAGTTGTCTCGCTAAAACTCGAAACTGGCTCGACCAATGCTGATGAAATTTATTGTGTATGTTTGAGTGTGTCCTTAGATGGTTTAGATTCTCAATTCGACCCTGTAGGTGGCGCTGTTGTCGAGATCTAGAAATCACCCGTGGGAACCCGGGCGGCCGTATGTGACTGAACTCCTCCTAAATTGTTAAACCGATTTTGATGAAATTTTGTGTGTGTGTGATTAGGTTGATTCGAGAATGATTTAAATTCACAATTGAATCCGGTAGATGGCATTGTTGGCCGTGCGAAGCCGGGGCGGATTCCTAGTAATTATATAATTATAATAGTTACCTTACCCTTCAAGCTGAAACACAATAGTCAAGGCAGAATTAGGTTAAATGGTGGCACCTACCAAAATTAATTAGGTTAAGTCCAGTAGCCATTAATCTGAAATTAAACATGCTAAATACACATGCAAATTATGATGCGGTGCGGCGGAAAAAGTTGTTGGTGTAATGTTTTGTAACGGGGTTAAAGTTACGTTATGATGGCATAGTTTACCTCGGCTACCATTAGCTTTTCAATATTAATTTTAAATCCGATCTACGCTGACCTTCCAGTATCTTAAAATCTTACAATTGTGTTTACTAACTTATTCACTATGGGATCTGGAATACTTTATTTCTTTATCCTATCATTAATCTATACTCGTACCTAGTAACCGTGTAATGGCGGTGTATGAATACCCACTACCCCATATCGTCCCGTGGGTGTCGTAAGAGGGGACAGGGTGAAACTGAAACGGCCCATAGACATCTACATTTATCCTCAATTACAAATCGCGTTGTCTCATGCCTCGTATCCAGTATAATATAAATTAAAAATTTTTACTTCAATATAAGTTATTAAGAATAATTCAAAAATTATTGGTCTGACCTTGATCAAAGTCATATGGGACCACACGAGAAGTATCAGCTTTCAAATAAAAAAAGAATCATCGAAATCGGTTCAACCAGTAAAAAGTTATGAGGTAACACACATTAAAAAAAAAACATACAGTCGAATTGAGTACCGTCTCCTTTTTGGAAGTCGACAGAAAATGGGTAGTTCTCGTCACTCACCATACATGACACAACAGTATTAAGCTGCTATTTTACGCTGATATTCTGTAACAGCGTAGACCTTCTCCGGTCGAGCCGATTAGTGCTACAACTATAGCTGCACAACTCTCAAAGGTCTCAAATAATACCGTAATTTATATAAAAGGGAAAAAGTGGATGATTGACTGTGGCAATTTAGTTATTCTTAATTCAATATTAAGTCAAGCGTCGAAAGTACATTTGGAATGGCTTTGCCAAGTTTTTCGGTCACATAACAGACAAGGAGAGCGACTCAGTGGAAAACAGATAATGACAGGCAAAAAGGATGGGCGGGACGGGAGGGACAGCGCCTGGGGCGACGCGATACTCCCGCTTTTTTTTCCTACTTATTTTACCGATGCTCAAATTGTATATTTGTAACTCAAACCAACGTCGGCATTTCTTCAGTTCAATTACAGATCATCTTACGTATTTCTTTTTAATGTTATTACAGACAAATGCCTGTGTAATCAAGCTTAATGGATTCGTTATGGATTCGTTATTTTCTCGAAAACAATTTGTAAGAGGCATTCTAGCGTTCATTTTTAAATAACCAATTACAACCTCAGAAATGAGTTTTCTTTTCGCCTAACGTAAGATAGAATAACATACCTTTAGCTTACATTAGAAAAACTTGAAAGGTTGCCATGTCTGATTAATAATTCTGAAATCTATCAATATGTACCAGAAACGGACAAAATAATAAAGCATCTACATATTTCTTTCCATATTTTCCATTTGACTTTCCATCTAAAATCGTTTTATTTAGTCCGATATTTGAATATCCTAACTTCAACATATCTCGAGGTTTTGAGGTATGTACATAAAGTCCAATTCTATTAGTTTTATGATGCCTGTGTGTGTGTGCGTGTATATATAAGAAATTATAATGTGATCTCCAAAATAATTTTATCTCATTTAATTTCGACGCTTAATTGCATAATGAATACCCACGTGCTTAAGCTTTCTTGGATTTTTTATTCACTAGTTTTATACAGACAAAATTTGTTAGAGTAAACCAAACCGTATAACAAACTACTTTTATCAAAATAATTACACTAGTAACATATTTTTTAATCAATTCGATTTCAGTTGTCAAATAAAGTCAAATAAAAATTGCAACTGTAAAAAATAAAGTAAAGGTTTTCAAGTCTTCTTTTCTTCTTCTTTCATTCTTCTCAATTATAGCTCAGGCATAGTCATCATGTTTCCATTTGTGAGTTCCAGCAGCAACCTACATCCGCCGCTGCAGTCACAGCTATGAGAAAATCTTTGATAAACAAAGGGCGCGGCAAAGGGTTCGCACGCTTCCGCCCGGCGCCGTTTCCGGCCCGACACTTCCGCTCCCTCCGCAGCCCTCCGCCCGCGCCCCTCTCCCGCCCTCCGTCGGAAGTATTCCCGGAGGTTCCCTTATTCCCTCATCTCGAGGCGTTTTTTGACGTCGCGTATGCTCTCAATAGTAATGTATAGTGCTATATTATACAGGCGCCGTCGACGAGATGTTTGAGGTTAGATATTCTTGATGTGCTCGAGAGACTTGTGATTTTCTCGATTAGGATCCTGCATGTAAAGGACGTGTAATTTATTTGTTTCGTGAACGAGGTAGCCTCGTTTGTCTAGAAGTGATAAACGCAGTTGCGGTTCAGTCGAGCCAAAATCAGTTATAGCTTTTCTG